TTATATGTTTAATATCATAATGTGTGTATAATACACATTGTTATACTTTAATAATAATAAAATAATAATTTTAATTATAATAATAATTTATTTTCTTATATTTTTTGTAAATTATATGGCTTAAGTTAATAATAATAATTTATTTTCTTATATTTTTTGTAAATTATATGGCTTAAGTTAACAGTGTATTTTAATAAAATTGGAATGATATTAGATATAAACATTTTTTTCGTATTTAACTTTATTTACATCAAGAGTTGAAATTTTGCAAATTAAATCTGTATGGCATAACTCGCTGTATTTCGCGAAATCAGAAACAAGTGGTGTATTAAAGAGCACATACAGTTATCAGGCTACTACAATGACAAGTGTTGCAAATAGACAAATGATAGACATTATTTAATGGATTAAATTCGAGAATAAGCGTTAATTAATTCATAGCTGTCGCATGTATCGCCAAACCTGATAACCACGATTAATTATATACTCTTCTGTTGTAAAATACATTAACGTCGACTCATCGTCGTGTAATGTTTTTAAAAAATCTATATATCCACAAGATTCTTACTTCGCAAATATTAATAAATCAAAGATATAATAAAAATATTAATGAACCAAAGATATAAACTTGACAGACGCGCGATTCGTTTTGAAGCCTTCTATGATGTATAAATGCATTGATTATTATTTTTGATATATAAATACATTGATTATTATTTTGCTGCTGATACCATATATAAATGTTTAAAATTTTTCAATATTGGGTTTATTAAAGCAATAATATATTTATGATAATCTCTTCGGACAGATTGCATGTTGCGGCAAAATGCTTTACAAACGGAAATCAATGAGACACATTTTTCGAATTTGTTGCGATTACAATAATATTTTTCAAACGCGGTCACACTCCGTGAAAAACGGACAGAACTAGGCACGCTAAATGAATCATTATAATTAAATAGAATCGTATTACGCAATCGGTTTAGGATTAGGTACGCGATTCTATGGCTTCCACGTCGCGAAGAATCGTGTAATTCTTACAATATATGGCATTTTACTAATTTAAGGTTAAATAATAATTTGTAAGACACCAAAAAGTTGATTTTTTCAATAACAAAATATATATAAATTAATTTTTTTGTACGAAATAATCATTTCTATAAGAAATATCGACTTATATCGTACTTGAGAAAAAGATTATTCAATGAAATATTGCATTTTATAGATTGATTGTTATCGAAAAAACTTTTGATTATTTATACATATTTATAAGTTAATAACCTATTATATATATCAAATAATATAATAATGCATATGCTATATACTGTGCGTGCAAAAAGCTCGGAAGCTTTATATAGACGGAAATGATTTTAAATATATATCACGTCAATAACTTATTATAGCTCGTACGCTAAATACGTTGATATCAAGCTAACACACGCAGAAAGAATCAAAAATCAAATCAAAATCGGATTGAGTGTTTTATATGCGGATAAAATTAAAAGATATACTTTATTTTCTATGTACTCGAATATATATACGCATATAATAGAGTTATTATTTGACATATATAATAGGTCCTCAGCTTGTAAACATATAAATAAATATAAAGAAATAATTAGTATAAATAATTAGATTTTTTTGATAAAAATCGAACTATAAAATGCAATATTTCATTGAATCATATTTTTCTCAGATATGATATCCATTCTCTTATAAAAAAAAAAAAATTATTTTTTATTAAAAAAACAAACTTATATAGGCATATTATATTATTCAAAAAATCAACTTTTTTGTGTCGTACAAATTATTATTTAATTTTTAATAGATACACGTATTCACTGTCCGAAAAATAGCTCGAATTGAATACAAAAGAAAATCTAGCTACATGCTTTATATCAGCGCTTGAAATATCTCACCCCGGCGGTTAATGATGAATTCCTAAGAATCTCTTTTGTGCTTTCAGAGTGCAGTAAGGGCCCGAGGAGGAGCTACATAGACCATGTCAGGGCCAGGGGCGGAGTGGTGACCTAGACCTCATCCCTCGGCTCCGACCCTCGATGCTTACGCTACGGCTGGTGTCGACTCACTTCCTGAAGCAGCCATAGGCAGTGCCCTTCGCCTTAGAGAAAGGGCTCCGTGCGATGTGCCGTGATAGAGACATGAACCCAGAACTACTGGTCGAGTCGCACGATCTCCGCTCAACGGCGTTGTCGTTGCCGTCGTCGTCGTTGTAAAAATAAAATTAAAAAGAAAAACAGACAACACGGTCGTTCGAAATTTTCACGCGCACGCAAAAAGGACTTCTTCTTTTTCGACGGCCCTTCTATCTCTCTCTCTCTGCTGCGAGAATTTTTCTCGCCCTGGCGCACGTACTCACATACGCATACACACCACCCACACCCCCACGAATCGTTCCTTGCCCTCCAACTACATAGACGAACAAGAACGATTTCTCTTTTTTATGATGTCGAGATAGATTAAAATCCCGATAAACGAAATAGACGAATCTCAGACGAGCAAGTGTGTATATACGGTATCGCGTTCGGTACCCGGGTTACTCGCGGTATTCGGTATATAAATTCGTGATCCGGGTAGCGCAAATCGGCCGGATCGAAGGAATACAATCATAATTTGGAAGAGACGACATCACCAATATATACGGCGAATCCAGAAGAAGAACGAAGGGAAGGAAGGAGGGAAGAGCAGGACGAGACAGCTGCTACGCTGAGCTCGGTATACACCAACCTGTGGAGAGCCGCGAGAGAGTGTATTGTGAGTGTTTCTCTTAAAGATTCTTGTATCGTATAATAACATGCGTGTCTCCGGGATGCTTGATAAAAACGATATTAATTAGAAGAACACAATTATTAATAAATTATTAGCTTTAATTGATTTATTATAAATCAATATATAAAAAGGCAAAATATGATTTTAATTAACTTAGACATATAGAGTATATTTGAATAATCGCATTATTATTCGTTAATGGAAAATATCCAAACGTCGTGGTTTATAGAACAAGTACTTTCGCAATTCACAGTAATTTTCCAATTTGCGTCGTAAATTCGTCGTGTCGGCAATAATAGTTTAAGAAGTCGCATATTTATATTAAGAACACATAAGAATCTTGACGCACCTGGCTTCTCGATTACGTAACCGCGAAATTTTGGCACAATTTTGGTGTATGAATAATCTTGTCGGCATGAAATTTTCCTGTCCGCTGCGATCAGTCGCGACCCAGCATCATCGGCGATCATTCATCAACTGTCTCATAATAATTCCCTGAAATTGCGTACCTTTCTCTCCTGCAAGAATGGGTGACGAGGTAAATTGTGTATGTGATTGACCGTATATCGGTTATCGGTACAATGAAGAGGGCGGGGAGGAAATCAGCGAGTTATTTTTGCTAACGCTTTGTGTCGCTTAAGTGAAATTCGCAAAAGATTTGCAATTATCTATTTAAGAGAATCGACAGTTGTTAAATTCCCCTCCGTTTCCGATGAGCAATTTCTTACGAGTCATAATAAATAGAATAAAATGTCTCAAAGAAATTATATTAAAATTATATCGCTTCGCAATAATGTGGAATAATTAAATCAAACAGCAGCTACGTAAGAGTTATTTTTTTTTTCACAAAGTTTCAAGATATTATTTCTGAAGAATATACTATAACTTTTTGCACGCTTAATATACATTTTCCAGCGGCACAAAAGTTTGCCGACGCATCTTTTATTTTTATCGTAATAAATGATATTGATGAAGCGAGGACGATGACATTTCACAATTCATCGATCTATTCGAACGAAGCTTTTCCTATGTTATGAAATACGCGTTTCTCGCCGTGCGACGCTCATCAATCGTGCGCTTGCGAAAATATTGAAATTACTTTACGATTGTTCTGTCAATGTCGATACACTGGCATGCTATTTATTCTCCAGCATAATCGTGCAAATGACACGGCAGTTACCTCGCGTGAGACCAATATGACACATTCAATTCCTTATTAAAAGAAACCGGTAAATTTTTCTTTATTTTTTAAATCTTGTTTCTATATTTGAAATATATATAGCTATTTAAAATATATATTATTAAATATATTATTAAATATATATTTAAATGTATATATATATCTCTTTTACTTAAATTAATATTTATTATATATTTATGTTCGCTTTTCCTTCACTTCTCCAATATAAATAAGCGAAATAAGTTTTCTAAATTATATTGTTTGATTGTTTTCTTTCTCTAAATCTTTTTTAATTTCTAATTTTTTCTACAAAATTAATGCTTCTTTTTTCTATTATAAAAAAATTATGTTTTTCTCTCCTTTATTATTAGAAAGAGTTTAGCGTTTTTATTTTTTTTACCAGTATCTCTCTTTTCTGATTTACCCACGATATAAACCGCGATCGGAGATTTTACTCGGAGGTAAGAATGATGATAGAGTGAATGAAGAACTTTTGAATGGTTGTGTCGTCTTGCACATTGACGTATATCATGCGATTTACAACAAGTGTACTCGTCGCTTTTGTCAGTGCGGCGGTGGGTCGCAGTACAGACAAAGTGGGATGAGACGTCCTCAGCAAGAACATCATCATCATCACCACCACCACCATCACCACCATCATCATGGATCTTCAACAAGCCCCACGCGCTCTCGTCAAGCACATGATAAGGTAATCTTTCTTTGACACTTGCAACTTCACGCTTAACGCAAAGTATCTCTATCTTATGTGTTTCAATATAATAATTATTTTTTACTTCGATAACCGTATCTAAAAGAGTTGTGCCTTGAATGAAACGTTGAATTTGTTTTATATATATACACGTACTCATATAATATATATTTTTTAATAAATAATGAATTTTAGAAATTAAAATATATATATAAAATTAAATGTTATTAATTTGCAATATTAATGTGTATTAAAAGAATAACGGCATGTAATTTTTTACTCGATAGTAATCTCCGTGATTTTTTAGCTATCGCGCTTTTATGTTAATCTATTTCTATTTTCTATATAAGCGATAAGAGAAGAACTACTGTATTGAAATTTCTATCTACAATAACTACTGCTATCTTAATAGATAGAGACAATAGCGTACAGTAGTTGTCGTTCTACATTCTAGATACGGTTATAGAAACTTTCTGGTTCTTCTACTATGTTGGACGAGAATCTATATCTATCTTGTTACTCCACTTTGTCGATCATTGCCTTTCCAGTTGTTAGATCCGGACTGTTCGTCGATTAGGCTTTCTCGTTCTCGTCATTCCTAATTATTTATACGACTCGTATAAATGTCGTGCAAAATCTCATCAGAGATATCAATTATATTCGATACTTGGCGGGATACATTTAAATAAATAGGCAAAAAGAGATAATTAATATTTATTTAACGTATAATTAATTATCAAAAAATAAGAAAAAATAAGTAAAAACTTATCATTTCATCAAACTTTTTACACTTAAAACATTGTATACATATATTTTTTGTAATTTGTTCTATAATTTATTTACGCGCGCGTAGAAGTATTCCTTCTCTAAAAAATTTTATATTCCCAATAATATTTTATACTTTATACGTCAAATATAATACTATATATTTTCAATATATATGTATAATTTTTTTTTAAATTGTTTGAAATTTTTTAGAGTATCTATTAATTCCATATTTGTACGATTTTAATTATTAAAATACCGTTTGCAGAGCATCGTTTCTACAGCATTCGTTTAATTATAAGAAAATAATAGTTTAGATTTTAAATACTTTTGTTTTTATTATGTATATGGAATGAAAACACGCTAGGCCCAGGCGGCCTAACGAATCCCACCTCTCCTTTTTCAGGACGAGTCCCGTCTCGCACGCGTGAAGCGCGTCCTGGCGGGCTCGCTGCTCGGCCGCGGTGCCAGCTCCAGCAGGATCTTCGGCACCCGGCTAGAGCTGATCGAGTCGTATCTCGACACGGGCGTGCCGTTCGTGGTGCATCGGCTATGCAGCTATATCGAGGCGCACGGCTTTCAGAGCGCGGCGGTGTTCCGCCTGTCGGGCGGTAGTCCCCGGCTGGCAGAACGGCTGAGAGCTGCTTTCGAGCGTCGAGGCGACGCCGATCTGGAAGCAGCCGGATGTCCGCCAACCGCCGCGACTCTCCTCCGTCAGTATCTGAAGGAACTGCCGCAGCCCGTCGTCCCGTCTGCCCTCGTTGGCAGACTGATCAACATACACACTCGTAAGAACCATAACTCTATTTCTTTTTCGAGATAAGAATATTTTATTGGAAGACAAGATATCTATTGTGAAGACACAGGGTGCATACAAATCGAATATGATGTGATCTTAATTATTATTTAAATAATTTTAGAAAACGACTCTGTGTGTGTAAACTTTTATCTCATTCTCGACGTTTCTAATAAATTCTATGAAAATGTTTGACGCAGAGAGTTACTCGAACGATCACGACTCATGGATCGTCTCGACGAAGGAGCTGTTTTTGACTCTGCCATCCTCGCATTATCATCTACTCGGCTACCTGACGATCTACCTTAGCCGCTACGAGGCTCGACATGGACGCAGCGCCGGTGTTTGCGGCGTTTTCGCGCCAGTCATTCTGCCACACGTGCCACCGGCGACCACCCTGCTGCGAGACATTCTCGCCGAGGCGCTGGTGCTGTTCCCCGACTGGTGAGTGATATTTAACGATTCTCTTAACATGATGAGGCAACCAGCAAAAATACGTAAGGAAGTCGCGCGAGTAACTTGCGTAACTCGCCGACAACAAAAGCAAATGTCTATTTGTCTAACTCATTTCGATCACGGGTCCGCTTCTCCTATTTTTAGAACCATTAGATCACGCACGATATGTTACACAAACAAGAAAAAGTAGCTGTCGGGCTATAAAAGAATAACATGAATTTATAGAGATAGAGAAATCAAATCAAATATTGCTAATTTATTGCTCTAATTTCGTATTTATTATTTTTATTAATTAATAGAAAATTGATATTAAAAACAGGGATGTTGATTTAACATGCAAGTACTTCTACTTTTTAATAACATTTGTAGCTAATCATAAATAAATATACCAGAATTAATCGCTACTTAATCGTTCGCAGATTGCAAATAGATTTAAACAATATTAAATTTTTATATAAATGCACCATGATACCAACACGGATTTTATTATAATTATATAGCAGAAAAGTAATTAAAACTCTTTAAGAAATTAACAATGTCAGTTTTTTTGATATATCATATTGTTTCTCAAATTTTTAACTTTTATTGGAATATCTTAAATTTGTCGAATTTATTGTTTGCAAAATAAGTTTGAAATTGTCTAAACGTAATCCATAATTGACTAGCTTTAAATTGTTATAAAATTCAGAATGATATAAAATAATTTACTATCGCAAAAAGGAGGGAGGGGGGAGGGCATAAGTAATTAATTTTATAAATAATAAATAATAAATGTAAAAAATTATTAATTAATTATCTCGTGATTGCTCTCCGTCACATTATTTGATTGCTTTCTTCTCTTCTCTTATTTGTTCTCTTTGCTGCTCTTTTATATATGGAATTCATACAACACTCATACGCGAAAACACGGTTAATTACACATGATCGCGCACGCACTAATCACTAGAATACAAACGCCGAGTTTATAGTACGCAGTTTGTTAAATATTAAAATAAAGTCGATCATTAACGATTATAATTATTAAATGCTTTGCAATAATGCCCAAGTTAATCCGTTTTATATTCTATTTTATATATTTATTTTGTTAATAAAATATTTAAAAATAATGTCGCAAGATAATGGCTAGTTGAGACGCAATAATGGGAAAGTTATTTATTAACATGGGTCGACAATCTTTAATCATTCCTGATCGACTTTAGAGCTTACTCCAGATGATCGCATTTGGCATTTTTCATTGTTTTTATCGTGATTATTGATGGCTATTTACCAAACTAAATATTTTGAGCGATTTATACGTTCAAAAAATTGAAACGATAAAAGATAGAATTATTAATTACCATTTTGTTATGGGCAGTAATTGTTTTAACGACTCTTATATTTCAATATATCTCGTATCACGCTTTGAATTTTTCACCAATTTAAATATATTTTACACATTATTTTCATATTGGAATTAATAATATACATTGAGTAATAATGCATGAATCGTAAGATCGCGTGATTTAAGTAACGAAAAGATGAAATTATAATTTATCAATTATTTATAATTAATTAAGTTAAAATTAAGGAACAGAATATATGTATTGGGTTGAACGGAAAGTTCGTTCCGTTTTTTACTAAGAGATGAAGACCGAATTCGTGTACAATCTTATTTTTATAATACATCAAATATTTCGTAGCAACAACGAATATTTGTATTAAATGTTATTGTGTTCAATCTTCGCATAACGTGCTATTGTTTACGTTAATTTTGCGGATATTCTTGAAATCGTGAAAAAACATTGTTGGAGCGAAATCATGATAAATTATGACTTAACTATGCTCACATGCTTAACAATTATTCACGCATCGTTGGATAACATACTGCAGTATGTTGGGCATGCCCATTATCCTTCAGTCCGTGATTTTTGCGAATGAAGCAATGAGATTTATCAACGTAAAATCTCATATGATTTTTTATCTGTTCGATAAAAAACGGAAGGACTAACAATAAGTCGGTTATAAAAGCGCCCTAATTTTAGAATACGGAAATAAATCAATCTTATAAGAATTTTTCATATTTAGATATCAATTTGATATCTAAATTGAGTTTGCCTGCAAAAGATAAATATTTTTTGTTTATGTTATTATGTCGAAAATAATTTTTAAATGGAATACTATAATTTAATATAATATGATTTTATTAAATCTTGTAACTATTTTAACTTTAAAAATTTTTACATCTGTTTTGAATTCAAGTAATTTTAACGCGTTGTGAATTTGAATAAAACGGTCTAAAATTTGAAAAAAAAAATATTATTGTATAAATAGAGAAAATCGTTTTAGTTTTTTGTTATTTTTTCAACAAGAGTTGTCACATACACGCACGGTTGTATAATATTTGCCTAAGCCAAATAAACGGGCCAAAGTACCGGACTTTGTTAATTAATCTGAAAATCCGATCTAGTCGCTCTATCGTACATACATTAATCGCAGTGTGAATTACATAAAAGTAACGTATGAATGTGTTCGACCAATTACACTGCGAAATAAATTATAAAGTGTACTTTGCAGAAAACGCTCTGCAACTGCGTCGAGCTTACACACATATATCTAAACACTTATTCGCGTTTCAATTTTTTCGCACCGTCTCGATATCGTAATATTGCTTGCATTTCCAACAATTATTCGTTTACCGATCGATAGATCCATATTATCTTAGTAAACTATTCCCCATTGAAATCACAAACAAAATAAATTTTCCGCGTCTGCCCTTCGACAATTAACCATCTAATTGGACTCTTCTACTTACATTCGAGAAAATCTCTTCAATGGGAGAGAGCTCGCTTATTATTTCTTAACCCGGGGCACTCTTTTTGTCCGTTTCTTCGCCTCGATTGCGTTTTGACCGCTTAGACAGTCTCGATGGAAGAATCTAGTGCACTTGCAATTTCATCTTGGCTGCATTCTCAGTATATTTAGCATATCTAGCGGGCTAAATGTAGAGAAAAACAATTAATTTGCTATTAAATATAATTTTGAATATTCTTCTGTATATCTTATATTATAAAATTTCATTTTTTTAACATGTTTTTTGCTTATAAAAGTTCTTCATTAAAATCAAAATAATTATGATAAATTAAATTGATATAAATTGATAATTGAAAGAAATATACATAAATCCATAAATAAATCGTTATCGTTTTTCTTCGCACTTGGATCGATAGATTCGGTTAAATTTCTATGCACGTACAGCGAGAGAACTAGACATTTCTCGAATTCGCGTGCATATGAAGGATTTTTGTTCTGGTTCCACGTACAAGCAGGTACGATTTCATTGCGCGTAAAAGCTTCCAAATCACGCAAAAAGCATATTAAACCGCATCGATGATCGATTCGGATTACGCGGAACGCAGTACAAATGCAGAAGTCCAAATACAAACGAACATTGAGAAATTATTTACATATGATATCTATGCCAGTATCTAGTTTCTTTTTTTAGCTATAAGTGGTTAACGACATATCAAAACTAACGGTTTCCATGACTAATAATAAAATAAATGATAATATAAATATATAAACAAAGTAAATAATAATATAAATTTTTTTTTTTAATATTTATAATAATAATAGATGATATAATATATATATACATCACGTTCTTTCTCTCGATATTCATTTTGATTGTGTATGTTAAAGCAATAACAAGTTGATGATATTTTAATTTATTCTCATTTTAGCAAAATTTCCCGCGAATTTCATCCGAATTTCACGCACGAATTATTTCGGCGAAAATTAAACGGACGCTGTTTTGGACTGAGTTATTTTTGCGTTCGTGCGAATTAGCTTTTAAGCAGGAAAGTCACGGATGAAATTTGTAAATTGCCGGCGTCAGATTGCAAACGTAGGCGGAAACTGCGAGAATATCCGCGACCTTCTCCACAATTAATTTCATTCGTTACTCCGTATCATTGAAGCAATGCAATACTTAGACGTTAATAAAAATTCGCGGTCCTTGGCCTTGTGGCAAAATCGCTCGCCATTGACGCGCGTACTTGAATGCATGCTTAATGCACTTCCTTTCCTCTCTCTCTTTGTCTCTTTCTCTCTCTCTTTTTACACGCAACTGCATTTTTCGGAAGAATGTATTTTCTTTTTTATTTGCATTAATTCAAATATAACTGTACATGTCTCTTTATAATTTATGTTTTATCGAGATTATTTGAATATCGTCAAAATGATTATTTGAATATCATAAAAATTAAGAATTAAAATTAATTTTTTTGAACAAATTTTTGATTAAAGAGATGTTAAATTCTTATAGTTTTAATTCTAAGATATTTGCGGGAATCAAGACATAAATTAATATTATATAAAAAATTAATATTATATAAAAAATATATAAAAAATTAAAGAATAAAAATTAAATTAAAGAATGCCTCTAAGTTTGACGTAAGACGAGAAATATATGCGGTGCGCAAGATCGCTTTAATCCTCGAAGTGCATTAGGTGGTTAAGCGACCAGGAAGTCGTGAGTCTTCGAGAAAAATCGGAACAATCCACCTCCTTGAGAATTAAGCCGAGGAGTTTCTCTCTTCTTAATCCTACGCGCGTAATGAATTATTAATGCATGTCGCCTGTCTGATATATATAATAGCCGTTATATTTTCTTCACAGTATATCGATTGCAGCTTTCTGCGTCTCTTACTAAAAATAAAATCAAGAGGCGACGTAAAATTTCTCACTAGATATATTAATAAAATTTTACGCAAAAAATTTCTTAAAATAAAGGAACCGTGTGAGTGATTTCATACCGTATTAAAATTCTATAAACGATGTCGATTCTTAGATTGAGAGAAAAAAATATCCGCTGTTTTTAATATTTTATTTCATTATATTGATGTATTTCGGATATTTTTGTCTAATTATAAAAAATATAAATTGGCGTTAAATACAATTAAATTAAGAATTTAAATTTAAATTATACTAGATAAAGATTTAAATAAATC